CCCAGTGCTCCCAGTCCATCCCAGTAACCCCCGCCTGATTTCCCCAGTGCTCCCAGTTCCCTCCCAGCACTTTTCCCGGGGAAAAGGGAGCAGATTTTCCCCCTTTTCCAATAAAATCTCAACCGGGACAAATCCCATAAAACCCCAAGGGGGGATTCGCTCCAATTCCCGACATTTTGGGGCAAATTCCTTCGGGATTTGGGATTTTGGGATGATCGTGAACAAATGGAGCAGAATCGGGAGATTTTGGGAAGATAATTCCAATTTTTCCCTTAATTTACACCAAAAAAAAGCTGGAAAATGGACAAATGGACGAAATATCCCCCAAAATGGGCCTTTTCCAGGGAATTTCCATGGGATGGGATCCCAAGGACTCACCGGATTCCTGGTTTTCCGAGAAGTTCGACTTCAGGAGCTGCAATTCCTCCCAAATTTCTCTGTCTGGAGGGAAAAGGAAGGAAAAGGCCCCGGATGGATCCCGAGGAATTCCGGAATTTGTCCCATTTTGGGGCCAAACGGGGAATTCCAGGGTGGGAATTTCCTCTGGGATTTAGGGATGGAGGGAAGAGGGGGCGGGAAACCCGGAAATTCCCATTCCCAAGTGGAATTAGAGCCTGAAATTCCATCTGGAGCTGGAACGAAACCTCAACATTCCCGTTTGGAGCTGGAATTAACCCAAAAAATCCCATTCCAGGATGGAATTCACCCTAAAATTCCCATTACAAGGTAGAATTAAACCTTAAAATTCCCATTTTGAGCTGGAATTGTCCCTAAAATTCCCATTTCAGTGTGGAATTAACCCTAAAATTCCCATTTTAATCTGGAATTATCCCTCCAATTCCCATTGCAGTGTGGAATTGTCCCTAAAATCCCCATTTCAGTGTGGAATTAACCCTCAAATCCCCATTTCAGTGTGGAATCAACCCTAAAATTCCCATTTTAATCTGGAATTGTCCCTAAAATTCCCATTCCAGTCTGGAACTAACCCTAAAATTCTCATTTTGAGCTGGAATTAACCCTCAATAGAATCAACCCTAAAATTCCTATTTTAATCTGGAATTGTCCCTAAAATTCCCATTTAGAGCTGGAATTATCCCTAAAATTCCCACTTTGAGCTGGAATCAACCCTAGAATTCCCATTTTAATCTGGAATTATCCCTCCAATTCCCATTGCAGTGTGGAATTGTCCCTAAAATTCCCACTTTAATCTGGAATCAACCCTAAAATTCCCATTCCAGTGTGGAATTAACCCTAAAATTCCAATTTTGAGCTGAAATTAACCCTAAAATCCCCACTTTGGTCCAGAATTAACCCCCCAATTCCCACATTAGAGGCGGAACCCGCCCGTTTCCGGGGCCCTTTCCCCCCAATTCCCATTCCCGCTCCCGTTCCCGCTCCCATCCCGGTTTTTCCGGCCCCACTCACGCTTTTCCATGCCCAGGGTGAGGATCAGGGCCCAGCCCAGGAGGTTCAGCCCCAGCAGGACGGACAGAGCGACCCCGGAGCGGCCCCGGCACAGAGCCCGGCCCTGATCCCGATCCCGATCCCAGTTTTGGGGCTCCGGCTCCAGCTCAGCTTTCCCAGGAAAAGCGGCGGCGGCTCCGGCGGAGGGGGAAGGTCCGGCCCGGGAAGGGTTTGGAGACCCGGCCAGGGTGTAAACTGGGGGGAAACTGGGATTAGGGGGGAAAACTGGGCCTGGGGGATGAGCCTGAGACTGATCCTGAGCCAGGGGGGGTAATCCTGATCCTGGGGGTCTAATCCTGATCCTAATCCTGGTCCATGGGGTCTAATCCTGATTCTAATCCTGATCCTACTCCTGATCCCAATCCTGAGCCGTGGGGTCTAATCCTGGTCCTAATCCTGATCCATAGGCGCTAATCCTGGTCCTAATCCTGAGCCTGGGGGTCTAATTCTGATCCTACTCCTGGTCCATGGGGTCTAATCCTGATCCTGGGGTCTGATCCTGGGCCTGGGGCTAATCCTGATCCCAATCCTGAGCCTGGGGGTTTAATTCTGGTCCTAATCCTGAGCCACGGGGTCTAATCCTGGTCCTGGGGGTCTAATCCTGGTCCATGGGGTCTAATCCTGAACCTAATCCTGGTCCATGGGGTCTAATTGTGATCCTAATTCTGATCCATGGGGTCTAATCCTGATCCTAATTCTGAGCCTGGGGGTCTAATCCTGGTCCTGGGGTCTAATCCTGGTCCTGGGGGTCTGATCCTGAGCCTGGGGGTCTGATCCTGGTCCTACTCCTGGTCCATGGGGTCTAATCCTGATCCATGGGGTCTAATCCTGGTCCATCAGGAATGAAACCCTAAAATTCCCATTTAAAGATGGAATTAACCCCTCAAATTCCAATTTTTGTGGTGGAATTAAACCTGAAATTCTCTTTCCCAGGGGGAATTAAACCCAAACCTTTCCATCCCAAATGTGGAATTAACCCTTCAATTCCAATTCCAAGGTGGAATTAACCCCTAAACTCCCGTTTTGAGATGGAATTAACCCTAAAATTCAGACACTGGGGTGGAAATAACCCCAAAATTCCC